GCCTGCGCGTGCTCCCTCTGTTTGGGGGCCTTTTGGCCCCTTGAACTCTTGGCCGGGCCGGCAACACGAACAAGTCCACTGCTGCCTTGGTCCCACTGTCCTGCCTGGGGCGCAGGCCCCGCTCGGCTCCACCCTGACTGTGGTCCCCATGCCCTGATCCTCCACGCCTGGAGCTCTATGTCCCCACCGCTCCCTCCTGGCGTCCCCAGGACCCTCAGCCTCGTCACAGAGCTGCATGGCCACCACCGAGCTGAATGACATCTCCCTGCCCTGCAGCTGAGTTCCTGCCTGTGGATGCCAGCAATGGCTGCAAAGCATGGCAAGTCCTCTTGGGGACCTTGTCCCCTTCCATGACCCCAAAGGCAGGCCAACACAGGTGAAAATGCGCTTCTTTGAGCTTTACTGAGGTCTGACATGATACTGCACGGAGTTAAAGGAATGATGTGATGACTTACACGCGTGTGTACTGGGACACGTGCAGCACTGGGTCACTGGCACAGCCCTGCCTGGTGTCCCATCTGGAGCAGTCACCTGCGTGGGGCTGGGTCTGTGCACCGTGGGTGTCAGCTTCCTCTGCAGCCCCTCCGGCCTGCGTTTCTGGCCTGGAGCTGGGGTGCCGTGGACTGCACCTCCGGACACCAGGAGCCTCTCACCTCTCACCCCAACCCGTGTGTGTCAGGAGTCTCGTCCTAGTGACGGGACCGTGGCCAACACAAGCCCCGCTCTACAGAGGGGGCAGCTGAGGCAGCCAAGTCAGAGCCAGCCCTGGCGTGCTCCCCTGACTCTCCAGGTCCCCAGCTCTGTGCCCCCGACTGAGTTGGAGACCTTGGCTTTGCTCCCAGATGCAGGTCCCTCGGAGGACTCAGGAGCAGGTGAGGGCTGAGGACCACAGCAGGCCCAGGGCCAGTGGTTCGGACACAGGGCTTGGCCCCACGTGTGTTTCCCCCGGAGTCTGAGGGTGGCCGGAGTCTCCGTGTGGGAGGAAGGCGTTCAGCGAGGGTCACAGGCATCGGCACGTCGGTGACATGTGGTGGCAGTGGCTCCATCCTCCCCTCCCCTTCCCTCCCCGGACAAAGTAGGGGTGTCTGCCCCCCTCTGAGGCCCGGCGCCTGAGGCCACGTCTGCCAGGGAGATGAACACACCCAGCTCCTCGGTGTCTGTCCAGCGAGGTTTTCACTCTCACACACACACACACACACACACACTCACACACACGTCTCTCGCTCCTTGCCCACTGCTGCCCAGACCTTCCCGGAAAGGTGACAGTGCAGGCAAATGGCAGGAAGTCTCGGGGCGAGGACCAGAGCCCCCGGAGCAGGAACGGCACATAAGGGCACCTGTCCCGCCCGGCCTGTGTCTGTCGCCCTGGCTCTGGATGCTGCGGCACTTCCCCGCTTCCCCTGCAGACCCCTGTGGTCCCAGACACCCCTCCTGACGGCAGGGGGCCGTGCCCCATCCATGCCTGCCGTGGACCCCGTAACCAGGACTCAGGGACCCCATGCTGCCCATGGCCATTTCCCCCTGAGGGCCTGCTCCATTCCTCCTGAGACCCCACAGCTAACAGGAGGGTGGAGGACAGCCCTTCCCAGAGGGGCTGTCCCGGCGGCCACCCCAGGGAGACGAGGTGACATCAGGCCCAGTGCCACTCCCAGTGCCGTCGCCTTGGGGCTGCTGGTCCACACCACCCACTTGGGACAGGAGCCCGGGGGGCCACTCATAAGGCTGTGACTGTGTGGGGCCCCACTGAGAGCTTCCAGGGCCCAGGACGCCACAGACTGCCGGGCAAGAGGCACAGCAGATGGGGACAAAGCCAGTCTAGTGTCCCTACGGAGGCAAGGCCTCATCTTCCCCCAGGGCACCCCCACCCTGGGCACCAGAGAGCCCCAACTCGGGCGGCACCAGGATGAGGAGGGCAGGCTCCGGAGAAGATGGAGGAGCAGCAGAGCGGGAAGGGCCTTGAACTCATGGTGATCCTCCTGCCTCAGCCTCTTGAGTGCTGGGATGACAGGTGTGCACCACCACGCCTGGTTTAAAACCAGTTTTTTGAAAAGCTATTATCAGGCCAGAGATTGAGCTCAGTGGCGCCTGCCGGGCAAGCACAAGGTCCTGAGTTCAACCCCCAGTACCCAGCAAAAGAAAGCTATTATCTGTGAGGCCTGGGAAGACTCCTGGGAGGCGGTGGCCTTCCCCAAAGGGCCTGTGAGCCCAGCTTCCTGTGCGGGCGGCACCCGACAGCACAGGGGACGTCTGGCTGCTGCTGGAGGTGTGGGCTCCACCAGGTCTGTGGCTGTCAGGCCACACTCGAGCTCGGGCCCAGGCTCCCGTGCAAACGGAAGGGGCCAGGCAGAGCTTCCGAGGGTCCTGCTAGAAGCGGGGCCGGGCCAAGGACCTCGGGCCCCTGGGGGTGGGCAGCTCCAGAGCCAGACAAAGCCCACCGGAGCCTCGGGAGCAGGGGTGATGGCACACACCTGTCCTCCCAGCACCTTGGGAGGCTGAGGACGGCGAGTCTGAGCCCTGCCTGGCCACTTCCTGAGGCCCTTCTAAAACTATACTTAAAAAATAAAAGGGCTAAGCACGCAGCGCAGTGCGAAGGCCCTGGGTTCAATCCCCACTACTGCAAAAAATGAAAACAACCCTGCCTCAGCCGCTCACGGGGCAGCTGTGGCCTGAGCAGTTATTTCCTCCCAAGCCCCATCTTGTGATCCGAGGGAAGTGGACAGTAAATGGCCAGGCTGGGTGACGAGCAGAGGGACGGGCGGCGCCAGCACCTGTGACATTTACTGCTCGCTGTAAAGAGGCCGCAGGTCGCAGCGTGTGTGCAGTGTCCCTTCCGCCCCAGGGCTTCGCTGGGGCCGTCTCCCGCTCACAGCAAGGGGCCGCGTGCTCCGCCAGGCTGGGCAGTGGCTTTTTCTTCTTCATCACCTACGGTACCTTCTAGTTTTCTGCAGCAGACAGATCTTACTTTTTTTAATAGAGGAAAGAGAAGAAAGAAATAGAACCAAAAACTGAGCCCGGTGGGACCAGGCCACCACCCCTCACTGACCGAGCCCTCGGCCACTTTACACTCGGCACGTCAGTCATCCCAGGTCTTGGGAGGCTGAGGCGGGAGGACTGCTGAGGGTTCAAGGCCAGCCTGGGCTGCAGAATGAGACCCTGTCTCAAAAAACAGGGATGTGGGGGCCGCACCCGCCCCATGCCTCAGCCCCAGCGGCTCCACCCCTGCCCGCCTCGCCTCCCACCCCAAGCTGGGTCCCCTCTGGTGCTGACCTGCCACTCTGTGCCGCCCGCCCACCGGGTCCTGCCTGCGCCCACAGCTCACAGGGGACCCAGCCGGCCCCACTCCCACCCTGCCCCGCGCGCCCTGTGGCAACCGCAAGAGCGGTGACGCAGCCCCTGTCACCCGTGGGGCCACAGCAAGAAAACAGGAAAATGACTGAGGACAGCGGGGCCTCGGGGGGCTCCCTGCCACCTGGAGCTGTGGTCCCCAAGCTGCCCATGTCCCTGCCAGCCCTGTCCCCACCTCCCCGGCCCTCGGCACAGTTCTGGGCCCCTTGGCCGCCCTGCTGAGTCCCTGGGAGCGCTGTCTGGAGACCCCCTGCCGCGTCACCCGCACGACACCAGGTGAGAGGGACAGGTGAGCGGCCCTCACCCCGCACATGAGGAGAGGGCTGGGCCTGGTGGCACACCTTGTCACCCCAGCACTCGGAGGCTGAGGCAGGAGGATCACCAAGAGTTCAAGCCCAGCCTGAGGTACATTTCGAGGCCCTGAATGAAAACACAAAAACAGCAATAGAAACCACTGCATTTGTGAGATTCATGAATGTCTCTGTGTGCAGCTAGCGCTTGTTCATTTTCATCCCTGTATAGTATTTATTTCTCCCTCTCGCTGCTGAGGGCAGAGAAGCTGCCTGTGAGGTTCAGCGTGGCTCCCCGTGGCCACGCGCTCAGCGAAGGTTGCACTTAGGCCTCAGCAGCCTGAGTGGGGTCCCTCAAAGCCGCCCCAAAGGCTCCACGGCAGCCACTCCTGGTGTGGGCGACGCCCCAGCCAGCGCGAGGCCCTGAGCTGGCACAGCCTCGGGTGCCACCTCTTCCCCTGGTGCAGTGTCTCCCACACTGCTGAGTGCCCTGTGCATTTCTGTGAATTGGGGCTCCCCTGCTGACCCAGGCCCGGCGAGAACACTGCAGCCCACGTGCCCTGCCTATGGCAGGAGCCAAGCCTGGAGATCCGATGGTCTTGTGCAGTGCACAACTTAAACACTCGTACTTCGCAGACTCCTTCAGGCAGGAGTCAGGCCAACCCGGGGGAGGAGTGCAGCCAAGGCTGTTGTGGAAGTCGGGGTACTGGGGGGAAACAAAAACCGGATCTGGGCAGGTGGCAGGAACACATGAGCTGGGAAAGTCTCTAATGCCTACGGATATCAGCAAGTCCTGTGCCCTGTGCCCCAGGACAGGGCTGTGTCCCCGGCCTGGGGTGGAAGGGGGCTGCTCACGGCCCCCACCTCCGCGACCCTCAGCCAGGCGTCCTGGCCCCTGTGGGGAGTCGCGCCCCCCACCCCACTGGCCTGCTCGCCCTGTTTACACAGCTGAGTCTGCCTGTGTACCCAGCGCCACCTCCGCAAACAGCCGGGCATCCGGCTGGGCAGCGTGGACGAACCGGGTGGGGCCAGGACCCCCACACGCGCCCACGGGGAGGGGCGGCCCCAGCAGAGCCCGCCCCACGCCAGCCGCCACCCGGCGCCCATCACTGACCCCTTCCGGCCATGGCGCAGTTAGGTCGGTGGAGGCGGAGGTCTTACCTTCGGAAGGCCAAGCCCTCTACACATCAAACCAGATGCCAAAAACGTTATGAATCTGACTACTGTCGATTTAGCACCTCTTGGCATAATGTTAAAGGCAAAATGAACCAGCAGGCCTCAAAAGAACCTCCATAGAAACCCATGGGCATTAGCTCTAGAATCCAGGAAGGTGCTGCCACTTAGCCAGGTAAGGCCACTCAGTGACTCAGCTAAAAGCATTTATTCCATCTCACTGTTAATCAAAGTAGTTCCAATTAAAACAAAGAGCTACTGTTTTTTCTTTTCTTTTTGAACCGGGGATCGAACTCGGGTCCTTGCACTTGCAAGGCAGGCGACGGAACCACTGGGCTACATCCCTGGCCCGAGTTACTGTTTTTTAACTACAGAATTACAGGCAGAGGCGGGCATGGTGGTCCACTCCTATGGGGCCAGCACTCAGGAGGCTGAGGCAGGAGGCTCACTACAATGAGGCCAGCCTGGGCTACACACCAAGGCCCTGCCTGAAAAGAGAAAAAGCACAATTTAAAAATTACAGGCAAAGATTTTTAAAACAAGAACGCCCCGTGCTGCCAGGCTGAGGTGAGGCCCCTCAAATGCCACCCACAAGGCCACCGGGCCTTGCAGGAGGCTGGTTTAGGGCAATGTGTACCACCCTGCCGCCCAGGAACCCCCTGCCCAGTCCTGGGGGTGACTGCAGGGGTGCTTTATCTGCGAGCTACACCCCTGGCCCTTTTTATTTTGAGACTTGGTCTCGCTAAGTCACTGGGTCTCCCAGGCTGGCCTGGACTTGTAACCCTCCTGCCTCAGCCTCCGGGGCAACTGGGACCAAGGGTCTGCAGCACCACTGTGCTCGGCTGGGGTCTCCACTTTTGCAACCTGTGGGGTTTATCCACAGCCAGGCCCTGGGCCCTCTTCCAGCATGAGTAACAGCCGTACACATGCGCGTGCACGCACACATGCACAGGCAAACAGCACCGGTGTGCAAATGTCCGACGCAGCGCACTCAGGATGTGAGCCCTTAATGGAGCTATTAAACCGCACCGCTGAGTGGGGTTAAACGACGCGGAAAGAGCCGGAAGGATGCAGCGAGGGAGCAGCTGGACCGAGGCCGGAAGGTGGAAGGCACCCCCTGCAACCTGGCGGGCGTGGGGAGCTGTGGGCACGTCCTTCACACAGACGCCCTCACATACTGACCTCTTGTTCGGTCAGAGTGCTTGTCCAGTTTTCTGGAGATTTTACACGTCGCGCCGTGAATATCTACCCCCGCGTGGGGACCGGTGATGACGGCCGGTGCAATGGCAGCTGCTCAGCTGCGAACACCCTCTGCCAGGCAGACAGGTGCCCGGGAGCCCCGTCCAGCTGAGTGGTCGCACAGAGGGAGCAGCGGGGCTGGGGCAGCGGGCTGGAGAGTCAGGAGTAGACAGGTGCGGGGGCAAGATGGCGAAGTGGCGACGCCCACGGCCCCGCCCGCACCGAGGTCTGGTCTCAGCCTCGAATGTGGGACAGACGTGGGGACAGCAGCCTCAGCCGGCTGACCTGGAAAGCAAGTCCAGAAAAAGGCGAGAAGCGCTGCTACCCACCGAGAAGGGGAAACCGGGAGAGCAACCGCAAGTGCACAGCGGCACAGTCGTGTTGGGTTCTGCAAAACAAGGTGTGAAAAAGTTTAGAGAAAGCAGGCCAGACATAAATACGTCGGTTTGGCTTATCCAATTTTCGACATTTTCAGTAATTTTCCTGAACTAGTTTCATAACTTAAAAATTTTTATTGAAGCCAGGTATGATGGTGCATGGCAAATCCCAGAACTCTGAGAGGCCCAGGCAGGAGGCTCACAGCCTCCAAAAAGGGGGTGAGGGCTGGGGTGCGGCTCAGCGCAAAGGCCTGGGTGCTGGGTTCACTCCCCACGCTGCAAATGACAATGGTAATAACAACAACAAATCCTTTTCTGACAAAAATACTAAGTACCCCTGCAGTGGCCGGCAGTCCCTCTCTGCCCAGGACCTGTGCCTACCTTCCAAGTGCCCAGTGTCCCTAACCACTCCCTGCTTCATCCTGCCTCGGCCTCCTGCACACTCACAGGACAGGCTGCAGCACTGCACCCCACACCGGAGAACGGGGCTTCCCTTACTGAGAAGCAGGGTGCAGGGACCCCACAGGGGAGGGGATCAGCCGCCCGGAACCCCAGCCTGGGTCCCGAGAGTGACGAGATCCCTGCACCCCACCCCCAAAGCCTCCCACTGGGCCCCCCAGCATCCTCTGGCTCTGGGCCCAGGCCGCAGCGCCCCCTGGTGGCCGCCACCAGCTGGTGCGACACAGACCCTAGGACACGTGGCTCTGCGGCCACGTGGACCGAGCCCTGGGAGCGGAGCTGCAGCACGGGGTGTGAGGTTTCCGCAGCACCCCAACAGCACCTTTGTAACGGGGCCTTGGAGCTGCAGGTGTCTGCAAGGCACCTTTTTCTCTTCCTTTTTTTGGTTTTGGGGGTGGAACCCAGCACCCTTTTTATTTTCTATTTAAGACACTAAATTGCCCGAATTTGCAATCCTCCTGCCTCAGCCTTCCCCGTGCTGGGCCTGCAGCCCCTGCCCACCCCGGCTGCTTCTCCTTCACCCCCACTCCCCACACCGCCTGGGCCTGTGGGTCAGGCCTGCCGGCCTCACTGCTCACCCTGGGCCTTGCCGGCGCCCCACGAGGTCTCACCGTGACAGGATGGGATGTCCCGGCAGGAGGGTCCCCGGGAGGCACAGGGACTCCCCGCCTCTGCCCCCCTACCTGCCTGAGCCGCACTAGGGTCACCCAGGTGGGCAGCCCAGCCACTGGAGTCCTGGGGAGACTCAGCTTCCAGGGCATGGAGTGCCGGAGCAGTGGGCCAGGTGGGCCTCGTCCGGCTTCTCCTTGGGTCTTTTGTTTTGTTGAGACAGGATCTGGCTCTGTAGCCCAGGTTGGCCTCAAATTCATGACGACCTTCCTGCCTCAGCCTCCGGGGTACAGGGTTACAGGCGTGCAGCACCACACCCGGCTTTGGATTCGGCCTGACCCACAGCACACAGCCATGAGCCACCTTCTCCAGACAGCGTCCTGCACACACACCGCCCTGGAAGTCACCGTGGCTCTGCCAAACCCGGCCCTGGGTTCGGACCACTCCGGGGGGCTCTCTGCAGTTTCCCCGCTGCCGGCCAGGAGGACGCCCAGGTCTGGACCAGCGCCCATGGGAAGCCCGGGCGGCACCCTTTGTCCCGCGATCCAAGACCAGGACGAAACAGAGTCCTGGGGGTCACAAGCCCCACGGATGTCCACGGCCACACGCGTCCCCTGGCCCTGGCCACACGGGTCTGCGTCCTTGTAACTTCCTGCCTGGTGAAAACGGGGGAAAGCCAGCGCCCTGTGTCCCAGGGTGAGGCAGCCCTGTCCCCTGCTGCTGCCCATCTCACTGGCCTCGAAGCCAGGGAGCAGGCGGGCGGCGGGCGCCCCCTGCTGGCCAGGACTTGGGCTCACCGAGCACTGGGGCTTGGCCCTGCCTGCTGGGCCTGGAAGCCCCCAGGCTCCTCCACACCTGGTGCCCGCGTTTGTGGAGCATTTAAGGTTTCAACCACTTACACCTTGGGGGGAAACACGCCCTGGAGAAAGAAGCAGTTTGCATTGTATCAGACGGGGAATTTGCACGGACGGGAGCTCCGCGAATCTTTTTGAGTTTGAAAATATCCGAGCCAAGCAACCAGGCCTGGTGGTGCATGGCTTCATCCCAGCACCCGGAAGGCTGAGGCAGGAGGGCCACAAAGTGGAGGCCAGAACAGCCAACTCAGCAAGACCTTGTCTCAAAAATAAGTAAATGAATTCATGAAAAATACATCTTCAGTGGATGCTGGGAAATGGAAGAAAGTGTTCAAATGGGAAGGGAAACAAGGGAGGAGGGAGAGAGGAAGGGACCAAAAAAAAGTGAAAACAAGGAAAAAATGGAAACAAAGCTTTTGTACATAGGGAGGGAGGGGAATTGAGGAGGGGATGGGAGAAAATAAAGTAAATAAATCAAAAGATTAAAGAAACTTCGTCAATCCCCCGTACTGGGAAAAATCAAACCCCACATCTTCCAGCCCCCGGGTCGCTTCCTTCCCTTCCTCCCGCCGTCTGCGGAGGGCAGCAGGCCCGGCCGGGCCAGCACAGTCCAGGGAGCCCAGGGGCCACCCGAGAGCCTGGGCAGAGGCAGGGTTGACCCAGCCACCGGGCCCTGTGGCCCCGTCCTGCAGCTGCTTCCCGGGACCGCAGGGTGGTGGCTCCTCGGCCCTGGACACCCGGATTTCAAGGCAGGAACAGTAGGGGGCCCCATGCCAGGGCACTGCATGTGTGCGTACTCTGAGCCACGCGTGTACTCTGCGTGTGTGTGCGCCACGCCGCGGGAGACACGGGCAGGCCCAGGTCGAGGGCTGCGGCTGTGACCAGAGTCCCCCATGGGAGACGACTCACGCAAGGGAGGCTGGTGAGGTGGCCACCCGTGTCATCCCAGCACTCTGGGAGGCTGAGGCAAGAGGACTGCACACTCCTCGAGGCCAGACCGGGAAACTTAGTAACTTATCAAGACCCTGTGTCAAAATTTAAAATTTTAAGAAAGGGGCTGGGGGTGCAGGTCAGTGCAAGGGCCCTGGGTTCAGTCCCCAGCACCACACACAAAAAGCAGGGCCAGAGAGGTAGCTCAGCACTGCAGTGCTGCCTGGCAAGTGCAAGGCCCTGAATTCGATTCCCAGAACCAACAAGTCGCCCCACTGCGCAGGGGTGCAGAGCCCAACCAGGGCAGGCGGGGGTGGGGAGGGAGACCCTGGAGGAGGCCTGGAGGGTGGGAGCCCTGCACCGGGACACCCACGGGGCCTGAGCACTGGGCCAAGTCCCTGACCTGAGACGTTACCCAGGCCGCGGGGAGGGCAGCGGGTGGAGGAGGAAGGGCCTTCGGGGGGACACTGCTGTTTCCAAGTCCGGAGCCAATGTCTGGGAATGGGGAGCAGCCCAAGCCTCTGCGTGGAGTTGGGGTGCGGGGTCGCCGGGGTTTGACCCTGTGCAGAAATCACTGCATTTCAGTGCTTGGGGTCTGGGTTTGGGGTGTTTCCCCTTGGCGTGAGGGGTTTTGTGTGGTTGTTTTGGGGTCCTGGGGTGCCCTACCACTCAGCTACATCCCCAGCCCTTTTCCTTATTTATATCAGTTTCATCTTTTTAGGATAGGGTCTCACTATGTAGCCCAGGCTGGCCTGGAACTTGTGATCCTCCTGTCTCAGCCTCCTGAGTGCTGGGATTGTAGGGCTGAGGCAGGGCAGGGACCAGCTCTCGGGCACTCGGGCTGAGTGTCTGCACTGCAGGTAGAGCACAGACCTCGTGCAGACTCAGGGCTTCGGACATCGTTTCCAAGAGCTGTTTGGGGGACGAGGAGGGGAGAATCCGCTGTCCCGGGGCGAGGGCTTGCAGCGCAGCCACCCCTGCCCACTGCCCAGTGCAGGCTCGCAACAGGGTGCTGGCTGGTGCCCTGTGTGCCTGACACTAGCCACCCAGAGCACAGGCAGAGGCTCAAGGCGCGGTGACTGGAGTTGCAGTGACACCTGGGGCATGGGCTCTCGGTGCCCTCTGTCCTGTGTCCCCCTGTGACCATTGCTGGCCACCTCTGGAAGCTGCGGTGTGTGAGGGTTGCAGCTCCTGGCCTGGGGTGTCAGCCCAGGTCCCGGTCACAGGGTCATGGCCAGCACCTGCACTCAGGGCTGCACAGGGTGTGGCGGCACCTGGGGTGGGCGGGGCGGGACTCTGCTCTGAACCCCAGGCAGTGAGAAGCCAGTCGGGATCCCGGACACGCCCAGTGGGCTGACTGGACAGCGGAGCAACCGGCGTCCAAGGGGAGAGGGCCGGGAGCAGGGCCCAGGGAGCCGGCCACCTCTGTGGACAGCAGGGGCCCCAGCCCAGCCTGGCTGGCCTCCCTGTGGCAGACCTAGCGACCCGCCCTCCATGGGCCTGGAGTTAATCATTCACAGGGACCCGGGTCCCATTGGCTCCTGGGGCCACAGCCCTCTGGACGAGGCCCAGCGAGGCAGGAGGCCTGGCCCAGGGGAGCATGGGCACTCAGGGCTCCCGTGTGACCCAGGGATAGAGGGGCCAGGGAGGTGGGCGGGCTGCTGGAGGCCCGGGATGGGCTCCAAGGAAGAGGACCCGGGGTGGAAACTGCCACAGCCCAGAGCAGGGAACCCACCCGGCATGGGAGGCAGTGCCCCAGGGGACAGGGCCAGGCCCTCCAGCCAAGGCCGAGGTTCCCAGGGAGGAAGCTGAGGGGGTGGAGCAGGGCACAGAGCAGCGCCCCTCTGTGCCAGGGCCCCACGGGGACAGTGCACAGGGACCGCACACCCACCCAGCGTCCGCGGGCCACTTAACCAACTCGCTCATTAATTCCCACTTTGGTGCTGGGGACGGCACCCAGGCCTGGCACCCTCAAAGCCCTGTCAGCCGCCAAGTTACCCAGCCGCCAGCGCTCGGGCCACCTCTGCTCACATGGGTGGAGCTCCAAGCCCAGGCTGGGGACCCGGGAGGCGAGGTGTGGCCCCACATGGCAGGCCTCGGGGTCACCTCTGCTGAAGGCAGAGGCCCAGGCCAGGCACTGGGCATGGACCGAGCACAGGGAGGGGGCAGGGTGCTGTTGGGAGCCCGAGCTGCCCACGTCCCTCCTGAGCCCTGCTCCAAAGCAGGACCTGGCAGGACCAGGCCACCGGCCCTCGCCTACTTCCAGGTCTGTTTCCTCATCTGAAAAAGGGGGACGGACCACAGCCTCCCCACCAGGAGTCACCACGGGGATGACAAGTGCACCTGGAAAGTGCTCGCCCAGCCTGGCAGCGCGCGGTCTCGGGAGTTGGGGAGACCTCCCTCCTCGGCCCTGGGGTGGCCACGCTGGGCCCTCTGGGGTCCTCCCCTTCAGGGGCTCTCCCCTTCAGGGGCTCTCCCCTGCTCTAGCCAGTGCCAGTGGCCTTGCTGTCGGTCCTAACACGCCTCTGGTGCAAGGGTATACAGTACGCATCGGTAAAGCCAGGTACAGGGGACTCGCAGTCACTCCGGCACCGTGGGAGGCTGAAGCAGGATCGAAAGTTCCGGCCCAGCCTGAGGAAATCAGTAATTTAGCAAGACCCTGTCTCAAAATAAAATAAAAACAGGAGAGGGGGCCTGGGCATGTAGCCCAGGGTTAAGGCCCTGCGTTCAGTCCCCAACAGGGAAGGGCTTGGGTGGCGGGAGATGTTTAGGGAACCTCAGTACTGGTGGGACAGCCCCGCAGAGGTGAGCCCAGGGATGTAGCGTGTCACCTCGACCTGAACTCAAGCACCAGGACGACCTGTCCACACCCCGAAGCCAGCTAACCCCACTGCTCCCTTACATCCTCCAGCCCTTCCTGCCACCCAGCCCCGCAGCGGATGTAACCGCTCAGCCGCCACCACTCGAGACCTCTTGACCCCGGGCCATGGGTCGTGGCTGCCCGGGGGGGGGGGGGGGGAACGACGCGGGGACCCCCCGCCCCGCCTGTGGCCGGATCCTCCAATGCGCATTGGCCCCGCCCTGGGTCCGGCCCCGCCCCACCGTCAGTTAAGACCCCCTGGCTGCTCCGCGGACTCACGAACACGCGTGGGAGCAGCGGTCGGTCACCATGGCGACGACGTTGGCGGCCATGGCCCTGCGGGGCGCGGTTGGCCCGAGGCTGCGGAGCCCCCGAGACGCACGCAGGCTGAGCGGCAGCGCGCGGCGGGGAGCGGCGGGGGCCACGAGCCCTGGGCGAAGGCTTAGCACGGCGAGGGCGTGCACGCGGACCCCGCGGGAGGAGCCCGAGGCCCCGGAGGAGCGCGCGCCGCTGCGCCCTACTCGCCCGCCGCTGCGCCCTACTCGCCCGCCGCTGCAGTCGCCCGAGGACCCCGCGGCGCCCCCCGCCGGCCGCTCGCTGGTGCAGCGCGACATCCAGGCCTTCCTGAGCCAGTGTGGGGCCAGCCCAGGGGAGGCGCGCCAGTGGCTCTCGCGCTTCCAGAGGAGCCACCCCGCAGGCGACCGGCCCTTCGCAGTCATCGAGGTGTGCGGCCGGCCCAAGGGGGCGGGAGGAGGAGGAGGCCGCGCCACTCCTGCCCCAGGCACCGTGGTCCAAGGTCGCGGGGCGGGCGGGGCAGGCGGGCAAAGGGCGCGGCGGGCGCGGAAAGCCCTGACCGTGTGCCCCCGCACAGGTGGAGGGCGCGGTGCTCGGCTGCGCGCGCGCCGTGTCCAGCCTGGCCTTCGCGCTGGCCTTCCTGCAGCGCATGGACATGCGGCCGCTCGTGGTACTGGGGCTGCCGGCGCCCACGGCGCCCTCGGGCTGCCTGTCCTTCTGGGACGCCAAGGCGCAGCTGGCGCGCAGCTGCAAGGCGCTGGCGGACGCGCTGCGGGACAACGCGGCTGCTGCAGTGCCCTTCTTCGGCGGCGGCTCGGTGCTGAGTGCGGCCGAGCCAGCCCCGCATGCCAGGTGAGTCCCGCGCATGCCAGGTGAGTCCCGCGGCTGCCCGCCCCGCCCCGCCTCACAGCCCCGCCCCGTCCCGCAGCTACGGCGGCCTCGTGGCGGTGGAGACCGACCTGCTGCGGTGGTGCCTGGAGGCGGGCAGCATCCCGATCCTGTGCCCCGTGGGCGAGACGGCCGCGCGCCGCGCCGTGCTGCTCGACTCGCTGGAGGTGGCGGCTGCGCTGGCCAAGGCTCTGCAGCCCACGAAGACCATCTTCCTGAACGCGCAGGGCGGGCTGCGCGACGCAAGCCAGCAGGTCTGTCCCGGTCCCTTGCGCGGCCACCCCGGGGCCCGCCTGCCCGCTCACCGCCCCGCCCCGCCCCGCGCAGGTGCTGAGCAACGTGAACCTGCCGGCCGACCTGGACCTGGTGAGCAGCGCCGAGTGGGCCAGCCCGCGCGAGCGGCGCCAGGTGCGGCTCATCGTGGACGTGCTCAGCCGCCTGCCACACCACTGCTCCGCGGTGGTCACCGCTGCGACCACGCTGCTCACGGAGCTCTTCAGCAACAAGGGTGAGGGCGGGGCCGGCGAGACGGGGGCGGGGCTGTAGGTGGGCGTGGTAAGCGTGTGGGCGGGACGTGGGGAGGTAGGCGGAGCCACGGTGGGCGGCCCGAGCTGGTGGGCGAGGCCCGAGGCAGGGGGGAGGAACTATCGACGGGCGCGGAAGGGGAGTCAAAGCGGGTGGAAGGAGGTTGGGGCCAGGGATTTAGCTCAGTGGTTTTGCCGCCTGCTGCCCAAGAGCAAGGACCCGAGTTCGATCCCCGGTACCAAAAAAA